TATCTATATCCGGGGGACCCTTTTGGAGGGAAAAGAAGGCTCATTTCCCTCCACTTTTGCCTAGACTCTTCTCTCTGGTGAGTTAAATGAAGAAATTTACATGAAACAACCAAGAGGGTTTTCTGTTCCAGGAAAAGTAAAGAAAGTGTGTAAATTGGTTAAATCATTATATGGTTTAAAACAAGCGCCAAAGCAATGGCATGAGAAATTTGACAAGGCAATGATGTCAAATGGATTTAAAATTAATGAGTGTGACAAATATATTTATATTAAAAATACAGATAAAGGTTATGTCATTGTATGTCTTTTATGTAGATTATATGCTCATCATTGGTAGTAATAATGATATGATTAAAACTACCAAGAAAATGTTGAATAAACATTTTGACATGAAGGACATGGGCATTGCTGATGTAATACTTGGTATGAAAATTACCAAAACATCAGAAGGATATGTTTTGTCACAATCTCATTACATTGAGAAAATACTTGACAAATTCAGCAAAGATGATGATCATCTAGCTAGAACTCCTGTAGATGTTAATTTGTATCTTTCTAAAAATGTACAGGAAAGTATTTCTCAATTAGAGTATGCCCAAATTATTGGAAGCTTAATGTACTTAATGAACTGCACTCGCCCAGATATATTTTATGCAGTAAGTAAATTAAGTAGATATACGAGTAATCCGGGAGTAGAACACTGGAAAGCAATTATAAGGGTTCTTAGATATCTCCGATTTACTCGTAACATTGGGCTTAATTATACTAGATATCCAGCAGTACTTGAAGGATACTATGATGCAAATTGGATATCGGATACAAGAGACCCAAAGTCCACTAGTGGGTATGTCTTTACTCTTAGTGGGGCAGCTGTATCTTGGAAATCTTCCAAACAGACTTGTATTGCTAGGTCTACTATGGAATCTGAATTCATAGCTTTAGACAAAGCAAGGGAAGAGGCAGAATGGCTTCGCCACTTCCTTGAAGATATTCCAATATGGCCAAAACCGGTGCCTGCTATATGCATACATTGTGATAGTCAATCAGCAATTGGTAAAGCACATAGTCATACGTATAACGGTAAGTCTCGACATATTCGTCGTCGACATAATACCGTAAGACAACTACTCTCTAATGGAATTATGTCCATAGAATATGTTAAGTCTAAAGACAACATAGCGGATCCACTAACCAAACGCAAGAGAGTTAGTTGAGAATTCATCGAGGGGAATGAGACTAAAGCCTATTAAATAAGAGTTACCACAATGGCAACCCAACCTAGTTGACTGGAGATTCCAAGATCTAGATTCAAAGGGACAACCGAGTTGTGAATGACTCAGAAGGATCACTGGGGAGTTTATCTCCTACCCATTTCTTTGATGAAATAGTGATGTCTGCAGCGGTTTAGGTTAAGTAATACTTTTAATGATTCTTATATCTAGGTAAATATAGTGGAGTATGACAGGATACTTTTCATAAGAATCACCTATGTGAGTGTGAACTAGGCCAGTTCTATAAGATTTGTGAAGGGCTACAAGTCTTTAGAGCACTCATGAAAGACCAGGTTGTTCAGGGCCAAAATGAACACAATAGTGAGAACTAAACTGTGTCTGGAGATATACTGTGTGAGTTCTATTGTCTTGGTTTACACAAACGGCTGAACAGTTCAAGACATCATGTTCACTGGTTAGCTAGTAAATCCGATAGTATCTCGCAAGGGAAGGTTCAAAGCCAAAAACTACCTATCCTTTGCAGAATATTTCCAATTTTTGTACTCTCTGTATTTACATCATGTTGTTGCATTTTCTCTCTGTCAATTTCATTCATGTTGGAGATTGTTGGAAAATTTATAAAGAGGTAGTTGTGAATTGAAATAGACTCCATTTTGAATGAAAGGGTGTAACCTTTCATGGTGTCTTTTTGTATTAAAGGAAGGGTCAAACCTCTATTTGAATGAAAGGGTGCAAACCTTTCATGGTGTCTCTTTATTTTAAAGAAAGGAGTATGTCCCTTCTTCATACCTTTTCTATTCAAATTGAATAGGTGCCAACAAAGCCTATATAAAGGTAGCCCCATTCCAATTTTGATTGATTCCGAAAATTCATTTTCCTTGCCTTCATTTTGCTCTCTTGCGTCTTTTATTCTTCATATTATTTTAGGAAAAATTTCAGAGAGTTATAGAACACAAGGTTCTGGTTCGTCGAACAAATTTGTTTGAAGTGCTGCTACAAATTTGTGAAGATCATTGTATCCTGGGAGATAGATGCCACATAACCGTAAGCACCGTAGCGGGGCGAATCTGTCTTAAAGACAGAGTGTCACACACTCGACTTGGTCTTTAAATTATTGATTCTGTTCAACAAAATAAATTCTGTAAGTTTTATTTTATTTTATTTGAATTATTTTAAGTTATTTTATTTACACAGAAGATTGTTCCAACAGCCGTTGCATCAGATTCGTTGATTTGAAACTGAGAAGAGTCAACAGATCTGAGATCTCATGTTGGTGGTGGTGAAACGACAGCAACGACAGAGCTCTGATGCCAACAGATGCGGGGAGGGTGGCGGAGCTCTGACGACGGTGGTGATGAAAGAGACGGAGATGAGAGAGAAGATGAGGAGAGAGAGAGAGAGAGAGAGAGAGAGAGAGAGATGAATGAGGAGAGAGAAAGGGCTTGGGGAAATGAGGATTATGGAGTGAAAAAGGTGTACATATGTGTATAAGTAGTCTGGTTAAGTTGGTTTGGGATGTTTCAAATAAGTGTATTTTTTTATTTTTTATAAAAATATATGTAAAAAAATAGAAAAATAGGTAGAAAAATAGAGAGAAAATGTTGATTGGTGTCCTCTAAATAAGTGTATGTATAAAAAAAATATATTTTTTAGTGCATGCCAAATACTTATCATTTTACTTAAACATGTTTTTATAAATAAAATATTTTGAGGCTTGAATGTTTGTATCTACTGTTATCTAGTATCTAATTTATATATATATATATATTTAATATTTATATATATAATTTAAATTTTGAGTTGTTAAACCTATATAAATTTAATTCGGACTTTTAAATTATTATCTGGGCATGTATCAAATTTAAAAATATTTTATTCAAATTCTCAAAAAAATTCAAATTAAAGCTTTGCTTGAATTAAATTATATAAATTCACTTTTTATATAAGTATATTTATTTAAATCACATCAAGTAATATTTTTTCTCTATTTTTTTTTTAATTTTTTCATAAAAAATTAAAAATATACTTATTTAAAGCCTCTAAACCAACGCTTTTCTCTATTTTTTTTTTAATTTTTTCATAAAAAATTAAAAATATACTTATTTAAAGCCTCTAAACCAACGCTAAACTCAGATGGTGTTTGGGAAGTGAGTTTTTATGTAGATTTTAGTAGATGTAGGTTTTTATGAGATAAAAAATTTTTGGTGTTTGGGAAGATAGTTGGGTTTTTATGTGGTTGGATGTGATATTTGTGAGAGAAAAAGTGAAATGATTATGGGGTTAGATGTGATATTTTGTTTGGATGTGTTTTTTTTAATTTTGCAAAACTTTTGTCTTTTAGTGAAAAAAATGAGAAAAAAATTTGGGAACTTGCTTCCCAATCACCACCTCAGATTGCTCGGTTAAGGCCGTCCAAACTTACACTACTGCGTCAGCAATGCATGCTCCGTGGCCATGAGCAAATGTGTGTCACGTGTGTCACGTGCAACGATTCATGTTGTTTCTGCTATAGCGTTCCCATAAACCTTTCAAATCAATTCCTTACTCTCTCTCTCTCTCTCTCTCTCTAGCAAATACACAGGAAAAGCATAAAAAGTTCAGAGACTACACCAATCGCATCGAAATCTCCGGCGACAACTCCGATCATTTTCCGGCGAGATATCGGCTATATAGGATCCGATTCTCCGGATTGTTAGGTTAGATCCGAGTGATGGCTCCGGTTTCAGCTCTCGCCAAGTACAAGCTCGTGTTCTTGGGAGATCAATCTGTCGGCAAAACCAGCATCATCACTCGATTCATGTACGACAAGTTCGACAACACATATCAGGTGAAAGCGATCATTCGCACATCCGATCTGTGTCTAACGAGTTTATTTTTATTCATGGATTTGATTTTGTGTTTTATGGATCTGACTTCTTCTGCATTATATTCGCTTGCGTTTTACTTGATATTTGGTTTACATCTCTAATTACATCATGATTTTGTTTGATTTCAATTTTTTTTTCTTTGATTTGAAATTTATGTGATGGTGGTTTCTTTTTTCTAACTAGTCTGAATGTTGAGTGAGTTTCCTACTGTTTGGTTGATGAGAAAATGCGAGAAAATAATGGAATTATAGCTTGGAATTGTTTGCTTTTGTGATGTTTAGATTTCTAGAAATGCAAAATTGTACCCAAGTTGGATTCAATACCTCTGTAGGGATCAGTTAATTATGCATCATCTTATGAGAAAAAAATCTTACCTAACAAAATTGACCCCATTTTTCTTGAAAATTTCTTTTAAATTTAAAGTTTTTCAGCACTGTCCTAACTCCATCATGAAACTTTACTGTTGATGACATCTCTTAGGGACTGTTTTCGTGTACCTAGAACAATCATTGGCATATACATCCCCGCCACAAAAATAGAGTGAAAAGGGTTAAAAATTAAATAATCGAAATTAACACTAGTGACCGCTCATGATGCACATAAAACAAATTTTTTTTATCAGCACAAGATTCAGTTCCAGCCGTTGAGCATTGTATTAAATTAATTATACTATATCAAAGTACAGAAGGACTACAATGTGGCAATTGTGTTTTATGATGTAGCTATTCCAGCTGTTCCACGAAAACAATAAAAGAAAACTTGGCATTGGGATTACATGGGAATATTACTGCTCTTTGGTGGATTTTGAGCAAGAGGTTTCAATGATGGACTTCACTAGCGGCTTTATTGCATCAATAGGTCTGCATTACTTATTCTACATTTTGACTCACTCCCACCTTAAGATGTCATAAATGTAGTTGTGTTTAAGTTGTTAGGCACTAAAAAAGTGTTCATAGAATTTTTACTGGCTTCATTCCTGAACGTAATATGATTTCTGAATATATATTTGTTAGATGTAAGAGATGACATGTGAAGGACAAGCAAAGTATATAGTTTTATATATGAATATTTTATTAGAAGATAATGCACCAATTCCTAATTTAAAGGAAAAGGAATTAATAGATGTACCTATGTATTATTTTTGAGTGCCAATCTACAAGAATAAAGGAGATGTCCAGAATTGTAACAATTATAGAGGAATTAAACTAATATGTCATATAATGAAAGTGTGGGAGAGGGTGATGGAACGCTAATTGCGAGATATAACTTTAACACCCCAAGTTTTTAGCTCAAATGATAATACAACAATTATAGCTCTTTCAAGAAAAACCGAATATAAATCTCCAAACTTACATTACATGATACAATAGTTCTTTATACAACAATACATTAATCCAACAACAAGTAAATAAATAAATAAATACCCCCAAGGGTTTACAAGTTTTCAAGGCTTGAGCGTGGTTACACAAAACAGTTATTCAAATCCATACACATATAGCCCTTGGCTTACATACAGAGTCACAACAAAATGAGAGTCTCGTACTCTCAACACACATTTCCTCGCCTTTAGTTAGGCGGCATCACCATATCTTTTTCTGCACAAAAATTCCGTAGTGTGAGCATAAAGCCCAGTAGGAAATCCTTAACAAAATATATACATTTAAATAAGTTTCAAGAGATGAAATGCACATGCCATGCTATGCCCTTTTTGAAGATGAATCACATTTTCATATTTTGAAAATCATCATGTTCAATGATGTCATGCAATTTCAATTGTTCTAAATTTAATAATTTATTTCAAGGGCGGTAAATACGACTCTAGTAATTCTTAAGTCGGTGTCTGCAAGTAGACTATATAAGTACTATCAAATTGTCATTTTTACCAGTATTAATAGGAAAACTCGACACCTATCCGCGCGGGTTTTCGGTCTTTCACGCCGGACTCTCAGGCCAACTTATTCAATATCATCTACACTACCTATCAAGATTTACCAACGCATTTACCCCAAAAACCATTTCATAAAAACTTGTTTCTCAACATTCTTTTCTTAATGCAAGTTTTCAAATCAACTTTCAAAGTTTAATGTAATCAAATGAATTGTTATGCTAATAACAAAAGATAAATATAAATACTTTTATTCCAATTCATCATCCAAGGAATAACACAATTCATTCTTTTCAAGTATCCTTAACAATTAGTTATTTCAAAACTATTTCAACGTTTTGAACAATAATTTTCAAAATGAACAACAATTCTCATATTTCCTGAAATTCATCATTTATGTAAATATAAATAAGAAAATTTTCCAAACATCCATTAATTTTGACACACAAAATAAATATAACAATATCATTCATAAATTTTCAGTCTCTTTTAAATTTTTTTCCAAATTGTAGGTTTTTTAACCAAAACTATATAACTCAAATATTTTGAAAATCATATTTTCTTCAATTAACGAAGATCAAAACCCATAAGATCATTTTAAAAGAATAAGAGATAAATCCACTTTCAAAATCGCTCAATTTCTTGAATCAACAATTAATTTTCAAAGCTATCGAAAGATGATTTCGAAAATCATATAGATCTTGCAAAAATAAATATATATAACTGTAAAAAAATCTCTATTTCAAGTTTTGAAGAAGAAATGAGATGAAACTCCCAAAATTATTTGCCGCCCTTGAAATTTGGAGATAATTATTAAGTTATCAAATCTCATCAAACCCCGCGTTGATGAAGCCCTCGAGCAATTATCTGCCCTTGCAATTTCATTATTAAATTATCTTGATCTTCACCGCACACAACGAAGCCCTCGAGATGATAACCCGCTTTGATGAAGAAGCAATGGCAAAACTTAAATAGATCTTGAGAAATCAAGGTTTTTGATCTAATTTGTGTAGAGAAATGTAGAGAGAAGGGAGGGGAAATGTTTTTAGAGAGAGAAAGATATACAAAAGTGATCTGAAATATCAGATTCATGAACTGATATAAAATGGTCCGCTCCAGCATGGAAAGTCCCGCTCGAGTGTCGAATACACTTTCTCAGTACTTTTACAGACAGGTCAAACTTCTGGAACCAAACATTCTCTGCTTGAGAGCATAAACGACCGCTCGAGCGAACAAGCAACTTCGAATGCATTTTGCATTTTTGCTTCAGCGAGCTAACCGGGCAGCTCGACCCTCGTAAGCTGTATAAGGTGACTCGACCCCCAACATATTCAGCGAAGTGGCAAAACATGAAAGAATTAACTTCCGATACAACTTTGTTATTCGGGTTGGATTCGCATCTGAAGGTTTGGAGACATTACTTGTTCCTAACACACCACTATAACCTGATAACCAAAAATAAGGGGAATATAAGGGAAACTAAGATACGTAACACCGTTCAAAACCATACCAACCAGAGTTCGGAACACCACAAGAGACGGGTCAAAATCGGGATCGCTACAACCTCCCCCCTTAAAGAATTTCGTCCCCAAAATTTCAAACCAAACTACCCAAACAAAGGGGTTTCTAGCGATCAAAACCACGCTATTTCATTTTAAAATCATAATATTAACTCTCAACCAAATTTTTTTTTTTTTTTTTTTTTGCCATTTTCCACCATGGTTATCTCATTAACAACAACCGTCCACATTAACCTAAGCATGAAGCAAAGAAATGACAATCCGTAACTACATGCTTAACATAACAACATGCATAACAACATATGGTCAACAATTTTAATACATTTCCCTCAAACACTAGGGATTACAAGGAAAAACAACTTAAGCATTTTCAAATAAATCCGGATACTTAGAGCGGACTTCCGCCTTCCGTTCCCACGTCGCTTCTTCAACCCCATGGTGTCTCCACGACACCTTTACCAACGGTATAGTTTTGCCCCGTAGCACTTGTTCTGAGTATCTAATATTTGAACCGGTCGTTTTTCGTAAGAGGCATCCTCATCTACCTTCAAGTCAACCCAATCAAGTACATGAGAGGGGTCGGGTTCATACTTCCGAAGCATAGTTACATAAAATACGTTGTGAACTCCCGAAAGTTATGGCGGCAAAGCTAACCGGTATGCTACTTCCCTAATTCGCTCTAAGATCTCAAAAGGCCAAATGAACTTTGGAGATAATTTACCACTCTTACCAAATCTCATCAAACCCCGCGTTGGTGAGATTTTTAGAAATGCATGGTCACCAACTTCAAAAGATAAAGGTCGTCTTTTCTTATCGGCATAACTCTTTTGTCGATTTTGGGCCGTAGCTAAACTCTTCCGAATGAGAACAACTTTCTCGGTTGTCTCTCTAATAATTTTCGGACCCAATAACGGTGCATCACTCACTTCGGCCCAAAAAATAGGTGATCTACAAGGTCGGCCATACAAAGCCTCAAATGGTGTCATCCTAATACTAGCTTGGTAACTATTGTTGTAAGCAAGCTCAATTAATGGTAAGTGCCTTTCCTAAGGCCCCTTAAAATTAAGGATACAAGCTCTAAGTATGTCTTCCAAAATTTGAATGGTACGTTCCGACTGTCCATCGGTTTGAGGATGATAAGCGGTGCTAAAAGTCAATTTAGTTCCCAACGCCTCTTGAAGGCTTTGTCATAACCGGGCAGTCAAACGAGGATCCCTATCCGACACAATAGTCACAGGGACTTCATGAAGTCGAACTGTCTCTCTAATGTACAACTCTGCCAAGCGTTCAACTGAGTCGCTGGTGCACATCGGAATGAAATGGGTAGACTTAGTCAACTTATCAACAATCACCCAAACGGCGTCATTGCCTTGTTGTGTTCTAGGAAGCCCGACTACAAAATCCATGGTAATACGCTTTTATTTCCACTCGGCTATCGGTAAGGATTGTAACAAACCCGCTAGTCTTTGGTGTTCGGCCTTCACTTGTTGACAAGTAAGGCACTTTGATACAAATAAAGCGACATCCTCGTTTCATACCCCTCCACCGAAACTGA